GCCAATAAAGAATTCTATTCTATTCTATTCTGCTCTGCTCTGCTCTGCTCTGCTCTGTTCTATCATTACATTCACCTATACCAATCTAATTTCCCATGCGCAAGACATAAATTAATCTGGTTGAGATATCCTTTTCTAAACCATTCCCCATCACCGTCACCCCAATTTGGCACCCTCCAAATATTTTGGGTTAGCATTACTATCAGACCCCAGGGAGCAGATTGGCCCAACACCCTGTGAGTTGTCGTTAAAATATTGAGAGGGAACAATTTGGGAGGAAGTACGGCACATGAACAAATGATAGGCAGACACTTTCATAATGACTAAAATGTGCTAACTTTCACAGCGTGTGGTTGTTGGTTGTTTTTTTTGAGCACCTGAGAACTGTCTCCCAATAATTTTGAAACTTTGCATATGCTAAAACTATACTAATGAGTGAATAACACTTTGCTTCCATCCTGCATTTCAATGAGGTTTTTTTATTTTTTTGGTTTGTTTTTTGATACTCAGCTCCAAAAGGAAAATAAAGTGTATGTAAGAGGTAGTTTCTGAGGCCATAGGGATGGTGATCAGAAACTTAATTAGTTGGAAACAATCATCCTTTCTCAGTTGAAAGAAGTTTTGTTCTCCCTCAAAAACGTTCTGCATGAATATATAAGGACACCATTAGCATCTTCTCAAGTATCCCAAGTCTCAAATTTTGGGTGAATTCCTAATTCGTAACTTGCTATAAGTCAGAGACTGCAAATTCTTTCTTTGCTATAACAAGGATCCTAAGTTATAATGTGACCGTATGATTCTTTAAACAGCGATCAATCTTGTTTTCTCCCCCCCTTCTTTATCCCTTCCTCAGTCTGTCTCCACAATCTTTCATCATTTAGAAACAATCATTTTAAAAGGATATGTTGACAATTTGTTGTTGTTAGTTGTGAAGTCGTGTCCGACCCATCGCAACCCCATAGACAACGTTCCTCCAGGCCTTCTTGTCCTCTACCATCCTCTGGAGTCCATTTAAGCTCATGCCTAATGCTTTGATTACTCCATCCAGCCACCTCCTTCTCTGCTGTCTCCTTCTTCTTTTGCCCTCAATCTTTCCCAGCATGAGGCTCTTCTCCAGGGAGTCCTT